TAACATGCATACACAGTTGATGTTTATTTATATATGTGTGTGCCTAGAAATAAATAGTGGATAAATGACAATTGTTCATCTAAGTAATTCTTAAGAAACCATTAGCACAATTGGACCTTGGAAACTATTAATGACTATTTGAGGTCTGGGAGAGCAAGGGAGAGGTCTGGGACTGGCACATCAAAATATGTACCTCAAAAACTGCATCTCAATTCTATTTGCATTTATCATCTTAATCTCATCCTTGGAGCAAATTACCAGCAACCAAAAACCCCATGTGTCTCCAGCTAGCTTGGCCAAGCAGAACTCTCTAATAACATACAATAATCTACCACATCCAGAGTACATTTATTAATCTGTCTTCACGTTCTAGCTGCTTGACCAGTGAAGTTATGCTTTTTAATACTACAAATAGCTTCTTTCCCACAGGCTTTCTGCCTTCAGGCCTGTGTCCAAGAACTCCATAGGACCACTAACCTGAGGGACAAAGGCTTAACAATCCTGTTTCTAATTTAAACCAATGCTAACTGCACAGAGAAAAAATAAAACTGCATTCAGTCAGCATGCCCAGATCACTGCATTTTGTGTTACAGGGGTCCCAAACAAGGTAGCTAGTCTGCCTGCTCCATCCCAACTCAAGTATCAGAGGCAGAACCAGAGAAGCAGGCAGGCACTGTCACTGCTAAGTGCTGCTGCAAGGCAAACAGTCTGAAAAAGCAGCTAGAACAAAGACCTGACTGGGTTTAGAATCATTTAATGGTTTTGTCTTGAAATTTCTTAACAGATCTTTGGTTAATAATTTTACATAATGTGATATGAAAATCATATGTGGAAACTCCAGCTATCTAGATAGTAATAAGTTATCATTCACGTTGAAGTAATTCAGGTGTAATAGTAACTAGCTTTTTCCTGTAAAAAAAAAATAGACTTGCAAAAAACAATACTGCACACAAGTAACTCAGTAGGACTAAACTCAATATCTAAAACCTTCCTGCTTAAAGAATTAAGTCCTGACTTCTTCAGAAATCAGTGATAAAACTCACAAATACATCAAAGCAAATTTATTTTTCTGACAGTACTGATGTTTTTTTAATAACATGCACTGTGCCCATACAAGGGCCAGAAGCCCAAAGAAATATGAGAGACCAGGTCACTATTTGCCTTCAGATACCTGAACACCTTCAATAAGCATCTCTCTGTCTGATAACAAAACCGTTCTGAAATAGTTACTGGATTTTGTGCTCTCAGTGGACAGGACACACTGTCAGCAGGGTAAATATTTCCACTGTGAGTTTCATTGCCCTTTTCTGTGAAGCTAGAACTACAGCGCAGTTAAAACTAACAGAAGAAAAAGTACTGGAAACTAACATAGCACAATCTAAAAAGAAACAAACTTAGGAATGCAGTGAATGTTTTTCATTAATTCTTTCACATATGGTTTTTATTGCCATCCAAAAATGTCTAAATGTCTCTTATTACATTATAATAAATGAACAAGGGATTCGTGTACAGAGCTGCTATCACTGAAATTCAAACTCAAGTTTAGAATCTCAGTGAAAAAATTACCTTTTATCTGAAAAAAAACCCACCAACAATACAAACAAACCAAAACCCCCAAACCAACAGGTTATTTAGCTCTTGCAAATAAAATATGAATTCTTTATGATTAATACTTTAAAAAATATCTCCTGAAGTAAAAATCAAGATAGCCTTTATAGGCAATTATAAGCACCTGCTGGTAAAGAATTTAGAAAAAGTTCAGTGTCCTTTTAAGATTGTAGCAAGCATCTGCTTGTTCCATCCATAACTTTATTGGATTTTCAGAGAATTTTAATACTTCTTAGTATTTGACTTTATTGGAAAAAAAAATTGTCCTGGTTTGCAAGGAGAAACAAAGAACCTAACCCCCAAACCTCTCCAGCATACATATGGAAGCGTGTCTAATACTTCCCTCATTGGATTGGCATTACAAAAGCATTCCTGCATTGCATCTGCTTCAGCATATGCCCAGATGCACGGATCTCAGGACTAACCTTAATGTACAGCAGGTGCAGCTCAATCCATGTGAGAGAGAGGCACCGAGGGAGCAGTATCAGGTGCTGCAAGAGAAGGTATGACCAACACTGCTCATATGTATGGCCTCAGTGCTATGTGAGGAAATTCAAGAGATTGCCCAGGAGGCAGATACAGACTGTGGCTGCTGGTAGGAGAGGGGCACCCAGATCTTGGGGATGTTCACATGCAGCACCCACCGTGTGCTCTCTGGGGGCTCCGTGCCAAATCAGATAAAGCTAATGCCTTTCATCTGCTGAAACTCATCTAAGATTAATTCTCAGGTATTCCTCAAACCTTTCATTTTCACAGATAATACTTCAACAGAAATCACAATGAACATACGCGGGTGGTCACAAGACAGGTAATACTGCTGCTAGATATATAAGGTTCCAAGAACTAAGTATGCAAAACCACATTTCTCTGCATTTTGTGGCATTCTAACACAGTGACAAATTTCAAAGTATCTTCTTAAATAATCTGAATCAATAAAAGAAAGCAAAACTGATTCCACAAATGGTCACAGCTATGCAGGACGGTCATCTTCCATCCCATTACTGCCTGCAATTATCTTCTGCTACAATAATTTGCTATGTTACTGTTTCCAAGTGCATAAAGGCAGAAAAAGGACTTCTTTGTCAATCTGTTTTGAAGCCGGATGGTTTGCACACCAGCAGCGTCCTACAGCCCCTGCACACTGAAGTTAAGAAGTGCAATCATTAGCGTAGGAGGTGTGTGCTGGGGTACACAGTGAGGCACATGCAGCCCAGCAAAAGGAGCAGCTCAGGCGAGCTGCAGGAACCTAATTAACAGCACACTACAGACTTGTTTTTAGAGGTAAAAGCTGACAAGCCACAAAAGAGTGTCTGAGCTGCTTGTCTCCTCTTTGGTTTGCAAAACAGGGAGGTCTCGCAGAAAAGCAGCAGCTGCAGCTACCCTCCATCCTATCCTGCTCAAGCCAAATCTGTCCAGTTGCAAGGATCTGCCTTCTGAAATCACATTAACCACTGAATGCTGAACGTTCTGACACTTGAGTCAAGATGTCCATTGTTAATTGGATATTAAATAGCAACTATCTTGTAGAGAACTGGTTTAAAGTCACCTGCCCCAAACATGTTGTTGCACTGCAGAGAACTGGCTGAGCATTAGCTGAGCATTTCTAAGATGATACTGGGAAGGGGTGGGGGGTGAAATCCCTCTGCAACTACCATAGCTTACAAGTGGTTACTTCTGTGATAGTAAACCCAAAACAAAATCTAACACATAACCCAACATAGGCATACACAGAAAGCTGATATAAAATACACATACAACTGTCATAAAATACATCCATTGGTCCATATTAAAAAAAAAGTCTTTGTAGGTAGAACCCTTCTAATTGCAAATTTGTTAGTGTTAAAGGTATAGTGATGTTTTGACACTATTTTACACTTTAAAAACATTAGTAAATGTGTTTTCTGTGATGAGACTTTCCATCTTCACATGGGGTCACTAATCCACATCATATTTCTCTTTCATTCAGCCAGGCTCAGAGCAAACTAAGGCATGACACGCACAGAAAGGTACCCATTCATCATTCAGTGAAAGTTCACATCATCTGCAGTAACACAATAAATAGCAGAGAAACATCAAGGCCACGTACGTTATAGCCACCAAGATGAGAGAACTGAGAGACAGCCCATCTTTGGCAGGACGTGTAGAATTGTAGCTGCATATTTTCAGGAAAGGATTAGTATTCAAGGTACTTTAGCTGTATGCAACTTGGTATTGTAAAGCTGTGTATTTTAGCAGGTATTTTTAGTGTGACTGGTTTTTTATTTTTATTTTTTTTTTAATTCTTGCAAAGCTAAATTGCAGCTGGTCTGAAGGGTACAGATTAGTTTTCTTTTTATAGTAACCATTGCTACACGTGGTTCTACAGCTGGTGGGTGTTAGGAGCCCTGGCATTAAGCAGCATTCCTGCCGCTTACGCATCCCTTTTTACTCCTATTGTCTTCAAATGATGCTTTAGATATAAATCAATTTAGAATATTTTATATCTGTAATTTCTCTGTAAATTAGAAAAAAAAGTAAAGTTACTGGATTTGAGTTAATTTTCTGCACATTAAAAGAATTTATGCTAGCTTCCAAAAATCTTGACTGTTTTGTTTGAAAGAAAATTCAAAGGAGATTGAAAGTAATCAAACTGTTTATAATGTAGTTTCGCTTGCAGCACACAGTTTTGAGACTACAGATTTGTTAATTAGCAGCAAAAAAAGCATGAAACAAAACCTCTGTGCATAGATTGATATTGTGTACAGCATGCACTTAGGTAACATGCTTCAGTTTTGAAACTGCATGCTTTAGTACAGTTTGCAGGACATCAAAGCAGAGTAGTTTGGTGACACGAGAAAAGGATTTCTTCTATTGTCACATTCCATTATGATCAGAGGGATGGCTCCTTTTCCTGACTGAGCAAGCCAGCAGCAGCAGGTAGCCACAGAATGCAAGATTGATCGATATAACAGCATACACTTTTGGAGAGAGTCATTTCTCATGTTAGGAAACTATATGAGAACCTTCAGGTTCTGTTCTTGTCTCATCAGCATGTGTATGTTTTAATATTGGCAAGACAGAAAGCTGAGAAAACAAATCTTTTAGTTGGCAGTTCTTAATAATCTGATATCTTAGGCAACAATGCAAGACTTGAAGAGCCTTATTTAAACACATTCCTCTCTAAGAAAATTACGCATGTAGTAATTTATTTTAGTCTACTCCAATAATCCACCTTGTATATATTAATATGCACATTGTAATCTATTTAAATAAGAAAGTTGAACTATTTCATTTAGGTGCTCAGAGTTTTTAAGAGATCATGCATTGATGCTCTTTGTTTGTGAAAAGCCAAGTAAAAGATTCACAAGAGAGGTAAATTAGAAAGTGACCAACGGGCATAGCTTAATTCTTACCTTGGCTGTTTTTTTCACGAGTTGACATTTTTGCTGGTTATGGGACAGAAACAAAATATCTTAAAACTATTTCTAAATTCTCACTCTCACCTGTGCTTGGATGAAGACTGGCACACAGTTTAAAGCTTAATTTTTTTTTTGCTTTCTTAACCTCTCTCCATTTACAAATATACATAGACGGAAAAATAGAGCACAACCCAGAGAAGTAAAATGAATCTTCCCACCACCCACCAAAATTCTCTGTCCTATCTAAAGATCCAGTTTGATGAGGCATTATCCATAATTTCAAAGACTTTTACAGAGGCCTTGAGTAAGGGTTGGCAAGATCAGTCTTTGAAGTAAGCAGCAACTCAATTTTAGCTCTGCATCCCTGTTTCAAAACCACAATTCGTAATGCATTTATTTACAAGAAATACTATTCAGTTAAAAATAATTTTTTTCATATTTATTTAAAAATAAAGTTTTTTATTTACCTTGGCTGATGATGACATCTTTGTGCCTAGGGAAAAATTCAAAGTTTTTGTTAGGACTTCACGAAACCCATATAATCTACTTTTATATTTTATTCCATTTGGTACTATACAAAGACTCTCAGAGTCTGTGTGTAATGTAACTGTACCACAGGATGCTATATAATTAACTTTGGTCAACGTAGTAAGCATTTACACACATTTTTCACTCAGGTCTCTATATTTTTATTTTCAAGTTAAAGCATTTGACAGCATGGCACGGGTTTCTAAGAACTACTTTGACAGCAAGAGGTAAAATGATGTTTAAAATAAATTATCAAGGTTGTAATTTTTGTGGACTGAAAATTCCATTTTAAGAGAGCAAATGTGTAACAACAAAATGTTTTAAGCTGCCAAACACCCTCAGGTCTGCATGTGAAGAATTTACCACCTGTCAAAACAAGTTGTCTGCACAGAACAACATGAAATTCTCTAGGAATTAACCCTGTTAGACACGTGGGTTAAATGTAAGCAAGTCACAGTTTCATTTAAAATGGATCCACACAGCACTGCTGGATACACACAAGGTCTTCTCAAGGAATGCAGTTCGGTTATCTTTCCTTGCCAGAACCAAGAATGAACTTTCACAAAAATTTCTGTCTTTTTGGTTTTTTTTGGGGGGGGCGGGGGGAAGAAATACTGATTTCTAGCATCAGAGTTCTTCTTGTCAGAATAACACGTCTTGATGGGAGAACTTATTGCATTATTTAAAAAAAAAATTAAAATTCCACCCTTGAATACATTTGAAATTCAGCAGCAAGGTATGAGAGGCAGCCAATGGATAGAGGTCAAGTTTTTGCAACAGTGACTAAGGGTCAAGCATATGCATGAGGAAATGAGGAAAGTCGTCTCTGGCTATTGGTACAGTCACCCTTCACCGTGCTACCAAAAGATAAATTAAAGACAAATTCACAGTTTTGTCTAAAAAACATTGAATGATTGGCTGCTGTGAGAATGCTGTCACTTCTTGTGACATTAGACTGATTTACGGTTCAGCGCTGGCTTAAAGATTGAGCTTACTAAACAAAGTCCATATTCCGGACTGGCAGCACAAAGCACATGTAAAAAATTTCTGTCCTGAGGCCTACAGTAGGGGCTGAATTCTATTCCCTTGCACAAGACTGGCAATTTTAGGTTGATTAGGTCAACTTCTATAATTGGGAACTTTAAACACAGTCTTTGCACAATACAACTGATTCTACTAGAAATCAAGCATGCAGGACTAAGAAATGAGCTTTAATGTGTGCTCTTGAATGCAAATACTCTTTTTACTATAAATCTGAAAGTAAGAACAAAAGACTCAATACACTGTAATATCCATTCCTCAATCAGACAATAGTTTACAATCCACACTGTTAGAAGTTTCATTTTTTGCCCGATGCTTTAAGATATGTGAGCTTCAAGCTGTGGACAAATAACTTTTTCTGATAGTAATTAATCCTAATCTTTTGTCAACCACTCTTATCTTAGACATCTGATTTGCTCTACAGTAGAGACGATAGAAGGGTGGCATTTAATGTCTTCCAGAGAAAAAGCAGGAAAATGAAACAAGGCACTCACTTTGACCTTTCCTGAATCAATACACAGAAAGGAAATAAAATTAAAATATATTTTTCAATATTAAATAAAGGAAAACCTTAACACTTTTGGAAAGATATTTTATTAGGATAATAGAAATCGGGAAATAAATTTGATTAAGAAGAGGGCTGTTCATTCATAAACATTATCTATAAGTACTCTGCTACAACTGAGAAAACAGGGCATTTAAGTTCTGACAGTCAAAAACAATACTAAAAGGAAACAAAAGTACTTGCAAAATATGTAAGCCATAATCTCTCTCACACAGCACTTCACTGAGCCACAGCACTCTTCAGGCTAAACATAAAGCTTTTAGTAAATGTGCCGATACCTATGCCCCACAAATTAATTTATGATGTTTTTGTTCTTTCTGTTCCTAGGGAAGATGGTATGCACTTACACCAATCTTATTAAATATGTGTTTGCAAGTCTCACATGGAAGCTCAGGACACCATCATGGAAATTACTCCGAAAGGCCTGAGGAGTTCTGCCTGTTGTAGCAGGAGTGGTTTTCAGGTAGCCCTGCCTTAAGTCAGTTAATGATTATCTGAATGAAGATTAATGAGTAGATGTATGAGATCAGGAAGGTAGATAAGCTGGCAGTACTTTTGGGGCAAGCTCAGAACTCAGAGGGATCTCAGAAAACAGCAGAGGGCTCAACCCAAAAGTCAGCACAATGATTTCAACAAAGTGAGCACAATACCAAAAGATAAAAATGAAACCAAACATACAAATATGAAGCTGGAAGCCCAAGTGGGAAAGAGGACAAAAAGTGGGTCAAGCAAGGGGGTCAGCAATGCAGAGTTAAAGCAAAACACAAACTCATGTCTGTGCTAACAGAAGCGGGTAAGTAACTACTCAGTGCTATTCTTTCCTAGTGCCTTTCCCTGTGGAGAGACTAACTGAGAAAAATAATACTGAGAAAGAGCACAAGGGGAACAGTGGTTTAGAGCGCATAACCCACACATAAGGACAGAGGAGACGGGGCTTCCACCATATGGTCGAGAGAACATAGCAGCTAAAAAGCGGCAATCCATTGTCACCATTCACTACTGACAAAAAGGTAACTTAATTTATAGGTGCAGTGGTTTATCTTGGATATCCAGAAATGTTTTTGCTGAGTGTGGCATCCCACTGCATTCTGGCAGCCTGATGTACGGAGCAAAGCAGGGAAGGCTTCAGCCTGGCCTCAGCACCCAGCAGCCTACCAGCCACTTTGAGCACCGTTAGGCTCGCTCCTCCAGAACTAACCTTTCTTGTTAAGAAGGTGGAGAAGTGGTGTTCTATGCCTCATCAAGACCTTAATGAAATAAGAAAACATCATTCAATTCTTCAGGCCTTCTTTGATGTCTAGGGAGTCTTGGGTTTTTTAGGGCAGTGCAGGAAAGCAAGCACATGCACAGTTGCTGTGTCAAAGTCGGCTGCCATGCACAAAGTATTAAGAAAAGCTGTAAAGCAGGCCTAGAAAAACACTGCAACACTTTACTGTTTAAATAGAACTCTCTGAAGGACAGAAGTAACAGAAAATAAACCCTGGCATACTAAAGGTCAAACTGAAAAGAAAATCTCTGCCTATTATCTAGAAACAGTATGCAGAAATTTGTTAACCAGTGACCTACCTGAAATCATATATGTTTATTTTTGTAACTACAATCTACTTTAGAAACACACACGTCAAATCCAGTGAATTAACAGCAAGGAAATATAATGGCATTTTCAAATAATTATTAATCATTAAAATGACTGGTTAGAAACTTCACTACAGTAGTATTAAGCTATAAATCATAACTCATAGCACATAATTCTGCTAATCCAAACAGACCATTAAAATATATTTACACTCACTTCACGCTTTCACATTTTATAACTATTTTCAGATTCCACTGATATCTGGAGTGTCACATTTCCAAATTGTGCAAGTAATTATTTGCAGTGAAAACAAAAGTGCAATTTTTTTTTTTTTTGCATATATTTCAGTTCACTAAATTATGCAATTTCTTAATATTTTGATTTTTAAGTTCACTCACTTTTATGCACCAACTATACGTACTTGTCTGCATTCTTTGCCACTTTCGATATTAATTTAGATGTTGATGCTACTCTCAGTAGCTTGTTACGACTGTCATCTGAGCTCTCCCAAGCACTGTGAGGTTTTTCAGCAGTCAACGATCTCTTTATGCTAGAAGAAAAAAATATATATATTTTAGAATGACAAGAAGATAAGAGTAACTGGAATGGGTTTGCAACCGACAGATCAAGCAGCAGTAGACAAAAGCAGAGCTAGATCTTCCTTCAAGCTGAAGCATGAAACAGGAAAAAAAGATTAGTCAAAAAGTTCTAACTGGATGAACAAAAACAACTGAGCAAGACAGATGCCAAATGTTTTATCCATTCTTTTGCATTTTCATACACTCTTACATAAAGACTTGAACAAAAAAGATCTCTATACTTCGTTACTACTTTGCTAACAAATTAGAAAAAAAGGGGAAAAAGCAGCTACAACATATTAGACTTAAGGAATAAATTTTTAAAAAATCACTCAGAAAAGTTGATTTTTTATTGACTGATACACTATTCGTCAGATTTAAATCAACAATCCATGGAGGAAAAACTCTGCCAGACTATGATTGAATAAGATTGCTTTGGAGGTAGCCCATTTTAAACAACATTAATAGCTGCAATCATTTTGAAAAATGTCTGCAAACTTCTTACACAAAGGCAAGCTAGGGTTAGCTCAGTGTTATAGACAAATCTCTGAATTCTGATGTACTTTTTCAGCAATCTTATTGTAGCCAATTTACAATAATAGTAAGCTGAAAAGTTTTGCAGTCATTAGTTAGTTTCATACACAAATCAGGGAAAATATGTTCAAAAGTGATATAGGCCATATTACTCTCATCCAACTGTCTTTGTCTGCATCTGTTCAGCTAGCAGTGTTACATGTCATCCCATCAGAAATGCTTTTTGCAGGCGTAAGTTCTGAACTGTAGCCTCAGAACTGGCAAGCTCACCTTCACAGCACCTCAGGAGGCTAGAAAAGGTCCTGAGACAAACACATTAACCAAATCATGTTACACCACGAGACCACAAAAGGCATTTATTTTTTTCCCCACATTGCAGAAGATTAGTATGCAAGACTTCAGGCAAACACCTTTACAGTGAGATACCAAGGCAAAAGGACAACAGGCTGCAAGTTCAGCTTCAGATAACAGAGAGTTTGTACAAGACATGAAGACAGCCTTTATGCAGTGTTATGACATGCATCAGTCAAGTGGAAATTTAAATATTTATTAGAATTCAAGCAATGCAAGACAACAATCTTGTGAACTACAATAAATTTCAGAGAAATAAATTTAAAGGTTTGCCTCCCAAACAAAAAACTTAAGAGAAAAAGATGTCATAGTTTCCAAAACAATAAGATAATGAACCAAAAGAAAAAAAAAAAAATGCAAAAAAGGAAAAAAAAACCCCGAAAGCTCAACACAGTAAGTGATCTGAATACTCTTTAAATTCAGAATTAAAACCAAATCATAAAATTCACTTCCTTAACTTTCCAGTCCATTAATTTTTTATTTTCTATTTTTTGTTCCTCCAAAAAGAGGAACAGAGGCAAATCTAGAACTCCTACCTTCAGTCAAGTCAAGCAGTTCTGTGATTTGGGTGTCAAAATGCAACTTCACTCGAGTAAAGAATCAGAATAAAAGTGAATTCTCCTGCAAACTAGCAGGAATTAAAAGAGATGAAAGGCAAAAATCAAAATAAAGAAAAAAATCTGAACTGCGGTTTTTCTGAATAGAAAAACGTCCAAGAAAATAGAATTGCAATAACACTAGCCTTTCAGAAATGTAACAGCAAGTAGTAAATGTCTATGCACGAAATGCACTCAATTCAACTATTTAGACAAAACCTATAATGTGTTTGTAGAGAAAGATCAAGTCAAAATAATTGTTATGTACTTTAAGATAATGGATGATTAGAGGTAGATTTACTATATTAGAATTTCAATCACTGAGCAAAAACATTTTGCAATCTCAAATTTGCTCAAAATTTTTCAAGAGATTTGCTCTGTTGCAATGTATATTGAATGCATATTCTTTCACAAAAAAAAATTAAACATTAACTTGATCAGGAAATTGGAGCTATTTCACATGACTTGTTGTCAGATATGAACTCAGTGTCATTACAATCATTTTCTAGCTCTGTACTGTGAAAACCTTTTAGTTGGAGCAGAACTCTTGCTTTCTGGAGTTTGCCTGTGTGTTTGGAGAGTCTGTGAGGGCGGCTGGGGAGAAGGTGATGCTTGAGTTTGTGGACTTTGATCATTAGAATGAGATTCCTCTTTTTTTTCTTTCTGTCCAGGAGGTTTTTCCTTCTTTTTTTCTGTACCGCTGTAAAATAAAGTATAATACAGGGGAGGAAAAAAAAAGAAAAAAGAAAAAGAAAGAAAGAAAGAAAGAAGAGAACAAGCAAATAAATTAAAAAGGTGGGAGAAAATGCCCTCTATGAAAAAGATGGGCAAAGCATGTCACAGCATTATGTATCTATCATCACTTAAAGAAACTTCTGATTATCTACTCACACTGTTCAGGAGAGAATTTTGCTAAAACAAGATTTATTTACAAGCTCCAAAAATAAAAATGGTGATAGAATTATGGATGTTTATTTACTTATACTGGATAGTTATACTAAATTTACTCTGATTTAAATTCAAATACAACTTTGATTTGAGCATGCTTGGGTGCTGCTACAGCACTTGAAGTTGACAGAAGTGAATGCAGCAGAGTTCAAAGGAAATCATCCCTCAAAACACATCACTGTTTTGAACTGCAGCTGGATAATGTCAGGCTATCTTGCCACTTCTTCAGTTAATATAGAGGAACCAAGAATTCATCTTTATTTTCACATTGCTGTATTTATCAGGCTAACATTTGAAACAGCTTTAAATATAAGTCATTAGCAACCTTAAATTCATTAACGATCTAATTAAAGGTCACTTGCATAGAACAGCACAGTTTGCAGTGTATGGAATGACATAACGAGTAACAAGACTTGAAAGAGAAGAGCATTCCACAGTACACAGCATATTTTTTATATGATAAAAGAACCGCTTCCAAAATAAATGCATCAGCCAAACAAAGCAGCAGCTAAAATGGGGATAAAAAGATTTTTCTCTTACATTCAAAGTGAAACAGAAATTGCACCCTTCTGAAGAACAGTATTTAGATTTCTCTTTCTTCACATCACTTCTCCCCTCAAATCTTGTGTAATCTTCACAGTTTTTCCATTTACTATTTTTCCACAAAACACTATCCGTGAAAAGGAGTTAAGTAAATACTCAAATTAATAAAAATGGAGTCCTGTTTTTGATACAAGATTCATAGGATCCTCTTGGCTCAAATTGTTATTTCAAAGTATGTTATCTATCACTGAAACAAAACCTGCAAAACATTTCATTTTAATATTTCTACACACTCTGATGAAGCACTGAGGATTTGGTAAAATTCCAGAAAATAACATAACCCTCCCAAAATTTATAAGGCTCGATTGGAATTTCTACACTAAACCATATCAACTAGTTAAACACATCAATATAGTACCTCTAAGTTACATTTTCTTTTCAGTAAGAAGAAAACAAAACAGAATGGACATTAAGAAAAATTTCTTTACCTTGAAGGTGGTCAAACACTGAAATAGGCTTCCTAGAGAGGTGCTTTATGCCCCATGCCCGTCAGTGTTCAAGAGGCATTTGGAAAACACCATCAGGGTCAACATTTCGTTAAACCTGACATGGTCAGTTGGACTTGATGATCATTGAAAGTCCTTTCCCACTCTGTTTTTTTACTCTACAATGATGTGTCAGCAATCCCAAAATTCATCTCTTCATTCTTCCAGCATGCTTGTACAATTACCATTTGCATTACCTAACTTTTCAGTCTCATATTTTCTGTGTTCTTATCTGAACTCATTCAGCTCATCTGATCCACCTCCTAGAAGCCATAGGTTCAGTATAGGAATATTTTAATTTATTCACTGAACTTCTCAGCTGTAGACTGTCCACTTCCCACCTTTGACATGACTTTCACTACTTAGCTTCTCTGTTAATCTCTGAGAGTCACTCAACCACTGCTAGCAGTTGCAGCACAAGGTATACTTGGTGTTCCAATACAATGTTTTTTATCTGGCACCAGGCTGCAAGTAAACTTTTCTTTTTTTCTTTTTTTCTTTTTTTTTTTGGGGGGGGGGAGGGTGGGGGGATGGGATGGCTATTTTAATTTGAAAGTTAAAATATTTTCACTGTAAAACATATTCACTGCGAGTGCTGAATGTATTTACTGCGAGTGCTGAATGTATTTACTGCTAAAAGCTTAATTGAATTATGGCTGCTATTGTAGAGTGGCTCTCCCACTAATATCTCTGGAACGCCTAGCACCTCTTGTGCAACAACTGAAACCAAATCAAAGAGAGTACCTTTTTTTTCTTGTGGGTTTCTAAAGATTAGTTCTTCTGGGAAGCAGTCACTTAATGCATCCAAAAATTTTTTCCAAATCCCAACTTGATGAAGCATTTCTTCATTCCACATTCAAGTATTTGAGATCTATCACTACCTGTGCTAATTTTCCAGATTCTCCATTTTCACTTAACCCAGTGTTTCATCCCTTGGATCACAACACTCTGGCAGCTGCAGTGGAGGGTGGTCAGTCTGAAATTACACAGCTCCTTACCAGAAGCTGTTTTTAGAAAAAATGTTTAGTCTTAAGGAAAATGATCACAGGTCTCTGTGAGCACAGCACAAAGTACAAATGTGTTTCTCTGGTGATATAGAAAGCATGCAGCATGTTCTCTGTTGAAAAGCATTTCGGCATCTCTGTCACACATCAGCTCCAGACAGCTAGGATGAATTTTTCCTCATACATATTACTTCGCTTCTCAGAAGCGGACATCATCTATCTATTTTTTCACAATGTTTCTGAGCTCTGTTTTCTGTGCTTCTGAAGCAACAGCTGAAATTGCAGCACGCTTGTTGAAATGAGACACAGTGCTGTTGTGCAGATCATTCCTTCATCCTTCATTGCAGATGATCTCACGATGTTCAAGGTTGGTAGAGTGAGGATTAAGGAGTCTAGGTATGAAACTGTTTATCTGTAGAAGTGCTCGAAGATGCCAGCTCTACAGAGGCCAAAGGCCAATAAACATGCAATATTAAGACTGCACAGCACACAGAAACTAAACTTCCAGTAGATGATTAGATGCGTGGCTACAAATATTCAGTACGTGAAAAGCTAAGACAGACTTTGGAGCTGTTTGGTAACTACATAAACTTCCATCAGAAGAGGGGTGGCCAGCAGGGATAGGGAGGTGATTGTCCCCCTCTACTCTGCTCTTGCGAGGCCCCATCTGGAGTACTGCGTCCAGGTCTGGAGCCCCCAGTACAAGAAAGACAGGGAGCTGTTGTAGAGGATCCAGAGGAGAGCCACAAAGATGATCAGGGGGCTGGAGCATCTCTCCTATGAAGACAGGCTGAGGGAGCTGGGCTTGTTCAGCCTGGAGAAAAGAAGGCTGCATGGTGACCTCATTGCAGCCTTTCAGTACCTAAAGGGAGCCTACAAACAGGAGGGGAATCAACTCTTTGGAAGTGTTGATAACTGCAGAACAAGGGGAAATGGTTTTCAGTTGAAGGAGGAGAGATTTAGGTTGGAGATCGGGGGAAGTTCTTTACATAGTGAGTGGTGAGGTGCTGGAACAGGCTGCTCAGAGAGGTTGTGGATGCCCTGTCCCTGTTCAAGGCCAGACTGGTTGGGGCCCTGGGCAGCCTGATCTAGTATTGAACGTGGAGGTTGGTGGCCCTGCATGTGGCAGGGAGGTTGGAGATTCATGATCCTTGAGGTCCCTTCCAACGCTAGCCATTCTGTGATTCTGTGATAAACAGATAACCATTTCCACATACTGCAACAGTTGAATCTCTAGCCTGAAAAGAAAGCCTGGAAAAGTAAAAGTGAAGTGTTCTACAATCTGCTGATACTATCCTTTAGCCTGCCTCCTACTCATCATAAAGAAAAAAGGTGTCTATTTCCAACATGATCATCCTAACTTTGCTAAGAAGATGGGACTATTGAAATTACTTACGATTCCCAGCACGAACACTGTACAGAACAGTTTTGCTATTGTTACAAAAAAGAAAAAAATTTACCAGACTTCACATCCACAAAGAGAGAATTGACGTTTGCTTTTATCTTTCTTAAAACAGTACTGTTACAAAAGGACAAACCTGTTTTCTTCCAAATACCAAACAAATTTTATGGGAGACTGTGGAAAGGCATTAGAACTGCTGAGAAGATAACTGAAAATTGGAGGTCTTAAAACATTCCTGAAACAGGCCTCCCCACCTGCATACTTGGTTTCAGAGCCTGGGCAAAGCCACCCTCCACACATTAGGGTTTTCCTCTTGTGACCCATCCAGGAATCATTTTAAAGATGTTAACTCAGATGAAAGGGATGCCACTCACACCACTCTGCTCCTCTTCTGTAGTCAAGTGCACAGCAGCCAATTAATCAGGAAGGCAAATGCAAACTGAGTACTACTGGAAACGGACTGGCTCTCATCAACGTTCTAAGAGCCACATGGGTAAGATTAATGGAAAAGTGCTTACTAACAAATACTTTCCTTCAGCAGTGTCTTTTGTCCCAGTGCCTGTTGTGCTAGCAGATAGAGACATACCATGATCAGTTTCTAATTTATTGCTGAAAAAATAAGCAAGAAGACATGCAATGCTCTTTGAGGGAGAAGAGTGAAGTCCAGGGTATTACCCTTCCATTCCACATTCCAAATGGCACTAAAGGTTCTTTTTATTTTGTTCTTATACAGTTTATATTTGCATTCAGCGTTTTTATTCCCTGAAATACATCATTTTCCTGTCTTCTTGTACAGCACAGTATTTACATCCACAGCAGAAGATGAAACAGCTACTGGAGTTACCAGAGAACTCTGCAGAGGCCAAGAAGTTGTTCACATAATTTACCACAGTTATACATTAAGAGTATTCTCTGTCCTGTGGCTATATCAGGCAGCTTGTTCTTCCTAAGGAACCATTGTAAAGTATTGATTAAATAAGCCAAGCAATCATTATTTAAACATCCCACAGAAGAAAGTAATTATAGAAACACTTTGCTTACGGTATTCAGCAGGAAACCATTACACTAGAGGGAAAAAAAAAGCCATTGCTTTGTGTACAGCTCATTTAAATTTCAAATACTTAAGCTTAAAAGCGCTATTTTTACATATTTGAGAACTGATACATACTTCGCAAAGATGAAGACATTTTGATTTAAGATTTCATGTACAAAAAAAGTAAACTTCTGTCTTAAAATTCACTATTGTTTCATCACTACTTTACTATTGTCTGCTATTTACACTCAAGACAATTAACTCAGTTTCATCTTTAGTCTCCTTGGGGGCGGAAAGAAAAAGATCTGGATGAATACCAGAAGGAAAGTTTTCCATTCACACTAAAGTATATTTGCCCCTTCTGTCTCTTGCTGAGAATGCATTTTAGCCAATATATACTATAGAGATACTCTCTATTTACGAATTCTTTTTAGAACCTTGCTGTAAGCTGGCGAACAACACGGCATGTTTCCAAAGCTTATTTTTGCGTTATTACACATCACATTCCCATTTCACTTTATAAGATGGGATCTCAATTTTAGTAACCAGTTGGTACCTTTTTGCAGCAGATGAAAAAGTTTCTTTTCTGGCAACAGATACAGAGGAACTGTGGCTTGTTTTCCTGCTTCCTGTACTCCCATTGGTAATACAGGACATCGAGATAGCTTCTCGGAGGCTTGGCTGACCTAGGAAATGAAAATGAAGAGCAGAAGGTTTTAGGCTTTAAATATCTGTCTCAAAGATCTATCAGAGAAACCATAAATTTTCAGAGGGGGACCTGGTAATTCCACAGTAGCAGTCCCAGCACCAACCAACCAGCTGGTATCCACTGGCATACATTCATGACAGCCTTAATCTAGATAGCTGGAGAAGGGAGACCCGAGACACATAGAGAAAGGCAAGGATTCACTATGACAGGAGACATCCTCTACTGCCACAATGACAGCATATAGCTTCATTCAGTGACATGTCACATCTCTTTCTAGTTGTGATCCACAGAGAGAATTATAGATAGATTATGGCTAGCCTTGGTAAATTGTACAGCTGCAGTAGAGCAGATCAGATAACTCCAACATTTTTTCAGCACCATCATAGTTCACAGACAATACCACACGAGGTGTGTTGCTTTCAACCTGTTGGTTTTTCTATTTTTTTTGTTTTGTTTTGTTTCCCCACTTAAGCCCAAAGAAGTTGCAGACAGAAGCCCTTTCTATACTACACGATTCAAGTTATCCCCTAAATGATATTCCTTAAAGTAACCCCTCAGGGTTGTGATAGTAAGGATTCAAATATTAAAGTTTTCTGTTTATTTTCAGCTGCCCATTTTCATCTTAAAAAGGTCTACCTTTTAGCACATGTGTTATTAATTATTTTAATAAGTTATTAAATTTCTGATATGGTTTACTCCATTGAACATCTGCCTCACCCAGTGAGCACTCTGCAAAGCATACTGCAGATTCTCTGTTGATTGAATCAAGGTGTATGTGAGGAAGGCTGTCCATCAGATGCCCACTTCTCTCAATGAGAAGTTTGAAAATATGCAGTGAATGTGGGAGGAGACTACAAAAAAGCGGGGAGGGAGCTCTTCTATCTAAAGGGGTGAATGCTAGCTGACAATCAGCACCTTGACCTGCCTCTGCCACAGCCAGGGAAATACATGGTATTTTACTGGAACCTAACATTTCAGAAAAGAGTTTTGTGCTCCTTTCCCTGTAGTTCCAAATTTGTGCTTTTCCCTTCTAGAGCATCCCATGCACAGGAGGAAAAAAAAAAAAAAAAAAAAAAAAAGAAAAAGCACCCAATAATTAGTAGCCATTTCTGTCCACATCTCTGTGCCACATCCCCACTGCATAAACAGCAAATTGTAACTGATCCCCATGGGGTCATGATGTCCAGTCACTCAGGCTTCAGCAGCAAGCACAACGGACACGACTGACAGGAAAATCATACATCTGTGATCACGGCAGGCTTGGAATAGTGCGAAATAAATAAGGCATGAAGCCACATGTCAAAGCAGTCAGGAAGAATCAACAGCTCTGTACATGGAAGGCAAACACACGTGGACATATCATTAAAACAATACCAGCTTTGGTCAATTTATCTGACTGTGGTTCTGTCAAGTAGGTTCAGGGACAAAATAATGCTTAAACAAGTGCGTTACATATGAGGGAGATGTGCCAAGGGAATATTGGGTTTCAGAACTACTTGACTGGAAGCAGAAATGGGCAGACATGAGCTGACTGCATCCTGATTCAATTGCACCAAGCAACACAAAAGGGACACTATCTAAAATTCACATTGCAAGAGACCAACAGAGCACACAGAATATCCCAGAAACAAGATTGAAGGAAACCTGAAGAAAGTAATGATACTTAAGTGCAGAAACACTGCAGAGATCACTACTATTCTTCTTAAATTCTTCACAAATCAGCTCTACTTAGTTTCTTCCAACTCTGCACTTCTTAGAGACCATTTTATTGGACATATTTGCAATATAGATTTCAAAGGTTAATAAACCATACAAAACCAACAAAACTCAACAGATTTTTACTCCCTTCTTAAGCTTGAATTGCAAGAACAAGAGCATACAAGCTGAAAAGGCACTTTTAGCATTAGAAACCTATAAATTAGATTCTTTTATTTTCGCTGACAAAGTAAATCATCTTCTTTGTGGAGATGCATAATATCAGGGCCTATGATTCACTTGTGAACTGCACATGACCTTAACATCTCTGTCTCCTCATCATAATAGATCAGTGCCTACCCAAACAGCACTAGTGCAGCCTTCCAGAAATAGAAATCTGGAGGCATAATAGTGGCAATTCTCAATTCTGCCAGCAAAGCATTCACTGAAAAGCATAAAGAATAGCAGTCCTTCAAGCAAGGTACAGAATCTCACCATTCATTTCTTTAAAACATTTTAATTCAGACCAAAACAACAAAAATCTTGGGAATTGCATTGGTCAAATTTGATTTTTTTTTTTTTTTTTTTTTTTTATGTGTCAAAATAAATCAGACTCTCTTTTACAATCAAAAATAAAACTTTGTTCAGTGGCAGTTTGATGCCTTACAACAAAATGTAAAAATCTGCACACAAACACAGAAAACACAAACACCCTCAAATACTAACACATTTAAGAAATAAGCCCCTCCCAAACTCTACAAAATGCATTATAATTCTGCTAAGTATTCTAAACATTACCATCAGAAAATTTGTCTTTAAAGGGAAAAAAATCAAGTATGTATCTAATTGTATGCAAACAAAAAACATTTTGATTTTCAATTGTTACAACAAAAGAAGACCAGTTTAAGCCCTGTACAAGTCCCAGGCAGCAGAGCATTAAATTCTGGCTCTCCATCAGGACAGATAACACAGACTCTTCTCAGCCAGAGTGAGAGCCCAAGCTGGCCCAAGGCAGTCAACTTCATGACTTTTAATCAGAGGACCTCTGTAGTTAGATGGTTTCAAAAATTAGTAATGTCACAATCTTCCTCTTCACTGTATTTTACTGCAGGTAAAGTAAAGTTGCTTCAGAAACCTACGTAATAACAAAGAAACTCAGGAAAATATAATTTCCATATCAATGGACTGATATGGACAACTGAGTCGTCCCAGCATTCAGATTGCATATCTCCCCAGTATCGCATTGGATGTCTCCTTCTAGAATAAACAGTCTGAAAATTTTCAGAACAGTACTCCACTTTATCTGCAGCTTTGGAACAAAAGCCAGACATAAACTGAATGTACAATGAAATCCAGCGCAGGGTGACCAGGATTAAAGCCAAATTGTCAGAGATCAAAGTAGTAAAAATATGTTTTATGGATAGTAGGTTCATCTCAGTTCTGATAGTTTTCATTAACTAGTATCTGTTGAGTTCAAAGAAGTATTTCATTAACATCTGTCAAGTATACATGTGTGAGAAAGAAAGATAAGTAGGATCAGGAAAAAACACAGGACACAACAAACTGATAATATATTTCCACTCCTTTATCAGCCTTGATTAGCTAACTGTGGGAAAACCGAGGCATAGCTGTAAAAGACAGCGATAAGTTTTGAAAACACACATCTCATGATAACACAATAGCTTTTCTTTCCAACATACTAAAGCTGAAGCTAGTAATTCATTTCTCTTCTCTGAACTGGTTATAGTTTATTATCACCTTCTCTTGCGTTATCCATACTAATTAGATGAGTATCCTCATCTGATCCTGACAGGTAAACTGCCTTCCAAAGAAAAGCCAAAACCTTCTTTCTCTTCTTAGGATAATTTCATTTAACTGATGTAGACCTGTTAAAGTATCTTCTCTGTACATGTCATCCAAGGGGATTTAAAAAAAAAACCTCAAACGAGTTATTTCTAAGAAAAACAAACCAAAAAAGATTTGCTTATATCATTTTTAAGCCTTTTTTTTTTTTAATATAGCAATAAAGCATATGATATCAAAAACCATATACTTAAATACTTTATTTTTACCAAAATTTATAAAATATACCTATGTATTTAAAAATATATTGACGCATAGGTGTTTTGTGCAAATAAAACTGAAAGCTTGAAAAACAGAAACCCACTTTGTTACTCATACCAAATGCATGTACCATCTATACTTAACTCCACTATTAGTCACTAGACAACCCACAGAGGTGAGCCTTTAATAGGGTAGCAGAACATAAGGCTTTATCAGTTCTTCCCAAAATAAAGCCATAAAAACTTGAAAGCAAGATGAATTTAAACTTCAAGATCTTATTAATAAATTATATTAAAGCTGCTGTCATTGCTTCTTTGTTTCCAAGCATTCAAAGGACAAGACGACACTCAGCTGATGGAAGACTGGCAAAGACTTGGGAGCACTAAGCACTTGAAAAGAGGAAGCAGGAAAAAATTCCTTCAGGACTTTGGTGCATTCAACTGTTTCATCACGTAAGATAAATTCTAGATATCCTAGACAAAAAAAAAAGTTCTGTTCTTCTATCCCATGAGCAGAAGTCACAGGTCAGAATGAGGTACCAATTCTCCAATAATGAACAATATAAATCAGGAAAAACAAGTCAACTTCTTTTCCTGCTAATTGATTATATTTAAACTCACATAATAATTCAACATAAAGTCAAAATTAAGTTTTGAAAGTCTTCTTAAATCAACTACTTCTACTTGAAAAAGTTTCAGGTTTTTTAATTTTTTTTTTTAAATAAACCCAGTTTGTCTTTTCCAATTAAAAGGAAAAGAGCAATTTAAATAGAGGTTTTTAAAATGAACTGGTTTGAAAAAATATATAAAGCCTAAGTACCTTTCAGTGCATGCAAAATTGTCTCAGTAGTTACATTAATTACAAAGCTAAGAAATAATATCTATTTACAGATTTCTTACATATTTTTGTACCTATCAATGTATATACATCAATATATATATTTTTTACTATAACTACTCCTTCAACAGACAAAACTAGTTTTTCAAGTGTTATGTTCCCAAAAGTCTAGGAGAGCCACACTCCTAGTAGAAGAATTAAAATCTATTCCTGAGGTAAACTGAAGACTTCCTTGGTGTGAGAGAACCAACAGCTTATTCAAACCACATAGCACTTTTTCTCCCACCTTCCTAACATTCTATCACTTTGGTATACTTTTGTCTTTGAGCAATTCCAAATGAGCTGTATTCAAGCAGAGGAAATTTAAAAAAGAAAAAAAAA